GGATGATGTACTAGTGGAAGATGTCCTTGCTCTGCTTGCGGCCAAAGATTCCTTCATTTGCCTCTCAATAGTGTCGGCCTTATCCACCAAATCATCTAGATCATGATAAGACTGTAACTCCACTCTATGTCAAATGGGAAGGTTCAAACCATGTAGAAACCTTGTTATACTTTGTTCCTCATCTTCTTTCAATTGACATTTAAGCTTCAAAGTATTCATGTCTTGGTAGTATTCCATGACCGAATTACTTCCTTGCTTAAGATCTTGCAACTCACCTCGAAGCTTCCTTTGAAAGGATGCTGGGACAAAAGCCTTTTTCATTACACGTGAAAGCTCTCCCCAAGTGGTGATTGCGGGATCATTGTCTCTTCTTCTCCGACGTTGTACCTCATTCCACCATGTAGAAGCATATCCATGAAATTCTGACACAGCTAAATTCAGCTTCTTTCCCTCAGAATAATTGTTGAGATTAAAGATCCGGTTGATATGATCTTCCCAATCAATATACGCATCAGGATTTGGCTTGCCACGAAATTCTGGAATCTTCTGCTTGATAGTGTTCATGTTATCATCAAATCTAGGCTGCCTTTGTCGATCATGCCTAAATTCTTCTTCATGCTCAACACCATCATCATCATTTTGTTCCCTTGGAATTTCTACTAGCTTTCCTTGACCTTCTTCTTCTCGGTCACCATCTTGTCCTTCATTACCACGTCTACCACCTTGATCACGCCCGGCATTGTCACGTCTGCCATGGATATTCCTACGTGCAACAAGGTTAGGTCCAAGATTTACCAATGGATCCCTAACTTGGGCAAGTTGGTTTATTTGACGACCAGTTTGTTCTTGTTGGTGAGTGGTCTCTTCTTGTCGTTGTTGTTGTTGTGCCGTTGCCATCGTCATAAGTTGCAATTGATTGGTTAATGTCACAATCTTATCTTTAAAATTTTGCACAGTATCATTCAGCATTCCATGTTGAGGAGGTAGAGCTTTGTCTCCCATATTTCCTGAAACACAACTCAACACACACAAGAACAAGAAAAAGAATATCGAAGAACTCACTTCCTGGTTACCCCTCCCAACTATTCTATTCACTCCCCAAGATCTCTCAAGAAAGTTTAGAATTTAGTAAGGGATGGATTCTCTCTTTTCTTACCGCTATCATTGTCTTTTAATTCTTTATTGGCAATGAAGAATAGTGCTACAAGAAATACTTTATTGAAACAAATAAAAAGGATCAAAAGTAAGGTTCTGAAAATAATTGTAACAAGATCTAAGGAAGAACACGAATATAGATCGAATAGTTACATTTATGAAAATTTAGATCTCACAAAAAGGCTAATAGAACTTGGAACAAATTCTGAAAAATAAAAACTTCGACTTAGGGTTATAGACAAAACCCTACTTCGGGCAATGCACAAATAAAGGGCTTATATTTGCGAAATCCTAGCCACCAAAGATCCAAGTATTTCGAAAAAGATATGTGCAAATAATAGTAATTGCACTTCAAATCAAACTCAAATACCAATATCCTTCTATGCCATCTTTCTTTTTTTTGTCACGGCTATTTTTTTAACTAAAAAAAAAAGTGGATTACGAATTAAGATACCCTAGATCCGATAATTTAGGAGAATAAACGTTTTTTTTACTAACAATAACGGATCTAACTATAACAACTTCAATCAAATCAAGCAAGACTACAATCGAAGCAAAATAGTGAGATCTATAATAAAAGACTCAAAAATTCAAAAGAACAATTAGAGATCTAACCAAAGATGAGCTTTAGTAGATCAAAACAAAAACAAGTCTTCAAGAACCTAAACTCTGAGGCCAATTGATACGAATCTTGAGGCAAAGGTGGTAGATTTACCTCGAGGCGGAAGCTATGAATTTTCCAGGACTTGAAAACTTGCAAATCCAATATTATGAACTCCAAACTCACGAAAAATAAAAGGAAAGAAGAGATGCAAACCACAAAAATTTGCACAAAAAAGGGATGGAAAGGTTTAGAAGATGTAGAAAGTGTTTAAGGTTAGCAACCCAATCGACCTATCCCTTGATTTATGGATAGAACGGCTAGGGAAAAGGCTCCAATGAACAACTAACAAAACTCCACAAGTAAAAAAACACCTACTCTACTCGCATGCATCAACAAAGCACAAGTTTGTGTGCAATGCACTAATCTTCCAAAAGAATAGAAAAAGAACAAAGAGTTTCCTCTCGTCTCATATTGTAATAATTCATCAAAGGTATAAATGAAATGCTGGCCAAGCACCCCTATTTATAGTAGAGGGGGCCGAAAATTCTCCTACCAATTAGGAGAAGAGTTTGATCTCTAACTCTATTCCTACTTTAAAGAACTAGAAATCAACTTAACCTCTAATTGACAACTTGTGTCTTATCTATTAAGGCAATGTATCTAGACACCTTTATAGACTTAAGACGCACTAGTCTATTGAAAATAAAAATCCAAATACAAAGAGATATTCTCTCAAAAGAATCTTATCCTTATCTTGAAAAGAATCTTCCAGAGTTGTCAACTCTATCAATATCTTCTTTGTAGAGTAATCATAGCCATCCAGCAGTTGAGAGTAGACACCAAGGAATAGTTTTCTTATTTTGAATAAACTCTAAATTAGATAAAAGAGAATCATATCAAATCTTATCCTTCCATGTAATAAGATTTAAATGATCTTATCTCTAAAAGATAGGGAATCTTCCAAATCTTATTCTTCCACAAGTGTGATAAGATTTAAATCATTTTATCCCTAAAAGATAGAGATTCCAACTCCTAAAAATTAGGAGATAGGGCCGGACTCCCCTTGCTTGGTTTGTGGGCCGAAATTTCTTTCCTCAAATGGGCCTTTTAACACTTTAATAATCTTGGACTTGTAACTTCCAGACTTGACATTCTCTTGGGCTAAACCATTTGATATAAGATTATTAAGTGCACCCCTCATCCTTTTATTTTTAGCTTGAGTTATTGGGTCTCAAATATTGGATAATGGATCCTGAGCCACTCCTTGAGCTTGGATAGTACTTGGAACCCGAACACCTTGATTATCTTGGACTTGATTACCATGGATATTCACATCACAAAAGACCAGAAAAAAATTGACTCTGAATTGTAAACATGCTTCAAAGATATGATTTTCTTAGGTAAAACGTAAGACGAAATCAAAATGGCTTATAATAAGGACCGGAGGGAGTATTATATTTTTATAATGGGACTTTTGAGATAATCCGAAACATGCAAATATCACATTCAGAAATCCCCGCAAGAAAGGTGTCGCACTCAAGGCGTTTTTATAATTGAAGAGCAATCAATGCTTACAACTGCTACCTATACGGAAGGTGGCATGAGTGTTACTCAACAGGTTCATATTTTTTGAGAAGCCCAGAAGAGATATATTGCAGCTGACCAAGAAGACATGGCTTGAAAGGGTCAAATTCATGTAACATCATTAATTAATTAATGCTCTACTTGTTGATATTGAATCTTCATTGCAAGTATTTAGTCTAGTTCCTGAAGGTACAAATACTCTCGCGTCCCTTAAAAATAATTAGCCGTATGAAATTAAAGTAAATATTACCTCTGCTTTAAAAAAAAAAAAATACTTCCTCTGTCTCCAAATTATTGTCCATTTTAAAATTTCAGTTTTATACAAATTGTACTAAAAATAAAAATTCTAACCAGGTAATAATTTTGGGACAAATGGACTAATATATATATTCATCTAAAGACGCAATATAAACTATTTTTATGAGATGAAGAGATTACGAACCCGTTGCTTTTGTTCTTGATGGACTTGTACAAAGACTTTGAAAAATCAATAGCCCCTCCCCAAATTTTCGTTATTATTTTAAGCAACCAGTTGTATTGTACATACTGAACATGGTCTATAAATTGGCAAACTACTAATTATATCCCTTAAAAGAGTAAAAAACTTTCAGATTAATTGCTGTTTCCCTGAAAATTAGTAACGCAACAAAGTACTATGGAAACTCTTCTTAACGGACTAATAATAATATTCATGTTTCTTGTTCATCTACTGTGCCAAAATCAGTTCCACTGCGTTGAAAGTACGTCTAATTTCTCAGATGCCTCAAGCTGCATCGAGAGCGAATGTCAAGCTCTCATGGACATCAGAGGGAGCTTGATTGACGGCGCGAATCGCTTGTCGTCATGGACGGGGCGAGATTGCTGTTCTTGGGACGGCATCACTTGTGACAGCCTCACCGGCGTTGTGAAACGGCTTGATCTCGGAAACTCTTTGGATCAATCCACTTGTAACGAAAGTTGCTTAGGAGGTGAGGTAAGTCAATCCATAATTAATTTGGAGCATTTGGAGTATTTGGATCTCAGCTACAATAACTTTTCAGGGGCCCCAATTCCAGCATTTCTTGGTTCCTTGCAAAATTTGCAATATCTCAACCTCCTTTTTTCAAACTTTGGTGGGGAGGTTCCTCCGCATCTCGGAAACCTGTCAAACTTACAACAGTTATATCTTGGTGAATCACGTCATGTCAATGATCCTATATCTTCTTATTCTCTTTTAACCATCAAAAGTCTCAACTGGATTTCTGGACTTGCTTCTTTAGAAACTCTGTATTTCTCTGGCATCAACCTTCATGAATGTCAGGATTGGACGTATTCGATTAACACGCTTCCTTCCTTGTCGTCCTTGAATATGTTGGGTTGCGGATTGATTGATACAGTTTCTCCTCCTGTTTCCCAAGTTAATCTAACATCTCTTGTTTCGGTTGACCTCAGCGCAAACAGCCTGCATTCTACTTTACCTCTCTGGTTATTCAATCTTAGCAGCCTTGAGGTTCTTAATCTTAATTTTAATAATTTAGAAGGATCACTCCTGGAGATGTTTGGAAGCTTGACCTCTCTTACTTGGCTTCACATTTTTTCCAATTCCTTCGGTTTTTGGCTGCCAGAGTCCTTGTGAAATCTTACTAGTCTCGTTTCGATGGATCTCAGTTTTAATCAGCTCGAAGGATCACTTCCTGCTTGCCTTGGGAACCTGAGTTCTTTGAACGAGCTTCGTCTTGGAAGTAACAAACTTGGTGGAGAATTACCAAGTGAGCTTGGTAATCTCATGCAGCTAACTGAGCTTGACCTTTCCCATAATTTTTTCATGTGTCCAATTCCCTCAAGCTTTGGCCAGCTTACGATGATGGAACGCCTCACTCTAAATGACAATCACTTGAATGGTCCAATTCCTCAATCTTTGATGAATCTTACTGAACTAAGAAACTTTGATGTTTCTTACAATTCATTGTCTGGTGAGCTCTCTGAATCCGATCTTGGGGGACTTAAAAGCTTGCAATTCTTGGACATTTCAAGGAACCAGTTTCTTGTTCTTAAGGAGAGCCCCCAATGGATCCCCCCATTTCCGCTTGTAGACCTTAGGATGGATTCTGTATTCATTGGAACCCGATTTCTTCCATGGCTTCAAAATGAAAAAAATGTTATTGGAATAGTCCTGACAAATACCAGTATCTCGGGTACTATCCCTGATTGGTGTGGGACTAGTTTTCCTAATCTTAATTACTTTGATCTTTCAAAAAACTTCTTAACAGGGCCAGTCCCTGCATTTGATGTGAATTATTCCACTTACCCGTGGTTTCAAGTTCTTACACTCGCTAACAATCGTTTAACTGGCAACATTCCTAAGAAATTATGCAACTTGCAGTCTTTATGGGTCATATCTCTTGCCAACAACCAGTTGACAGGAGAGATTCCTCCATGCCTTGGAAACTTTAGGCAGCTGAAGGTGTTGGATCTAGCAAATAATAGCCTTTCCGGTCATATTCCAGGTGAACTTGGTAACTTGGAGAGCCTCAACTTATTGCATTTGAATGGGAACAAATTCTTCGGTGTGCTTCCCATGTCATTTCAAAGATTGACATCTTTAGTCACTCTTGATCTCGGCAATAATCAGTTGACCGATTTGATGGCACAATGGATTGGAAAAGAGTTCTCATATTTGCAATTTCTTAGGCTTCAATCCAACCACTTTTATGGTAACATTTCTACAAATCTTTGCCAATTGTCGTCCCTTCAAGTTCTAAATCTTGCTGACAACAACTTGGACGGCAGCATCCCTCCTTGTCTTGGCAACTTGAGTATGATGCTGTCAAATGAATCCGGCAAGCCTACTGTATCGACTATTTACTCGGAATCACTTTGGAACATCATGAAAGGATCAGACTTGAAGTATTCCTCAAACCTCCGATATGTAAAGTCCATAACACTTTCAGGAAACAACATACAAGGTGAGATCCCTGATGAGTTAATGGATCTTAAATACCTGCAAAATTTGAACTTGTCAAGAAATAACTTAAGCGGAAAGATCCCAGAGAAGATTGGTAACTTGAAGCAATTGGAGTCCCTAGATTTGTCAATGAACAAACTTTCTGAAACTATCCCTCAAAGTTTGGCCAATATAGATTCCCTGAGTTACCTCAAATTGTCATTCAATAATTTGACAGGGCACGTACCGTCAGGGAATCATTTTGATACCTTTAATGATCCATCCATTTATGAAGGAAACAACGGACTTTGTGGTAAGCCCCTACCGAAGCGCTGTCCTGACGATTCATCATCAACAGAAAATGTACCCGCAGGGAGTTTTAATCATAAAATTCATGGTGATAGTGACAAGTTTGAGTTCTTATGGTTTTTTTCGGGTGTAGGACCTGGTTTTGTAGTTGGTTTGCTGGGATTTCTCTCTGTTCTTTATTTCAAGAGGTCGTGGAGATACGCTTGCTTCAGGTTTCTGGAAAACAGAGTCTAGGTAGCTTTTACTGTCAGCATATCTCTGTTCCAGAGAAAGCTCAATTGAATACTGCTTGTGCGAATTATTTTTTATCATTATTGTAATATATGTATTTCCTATTATAGCCTTATGTATAGAGTTTAAATATTATCTATATATACTGTGTATATTGTATATCAAAACATATGAATGAAATACAATTCCTATTATTCTAAGTTGGTGTTTGAGACTTTCTTTGGACCGTCAATTCTTTTTAGGATTTCGTTCCCTCTTTTATCACCGCGCATCTTTTCCTACAGCTGGCAATCCTTTCTGTCCTACTAATCTCTTCTCTCCTCAGTTGCTTTAAAAGGAAAAAAAAACGCAAAAAAAAAGCGCAACAAAAAAAAACAAAAAAAAAAAAAATGTCACATTCTCAATTTCCTCCCTGCAATCGGGATAGACGTCATGGTTACACTTATCCTCTGAGTATACTTTTTGAAACAGATGTCAGCTCTATGATATTCCCAATCACACTCCCATTCACTTGCCCTTGTCGCTTTGACTTGCATTTACAACCGGGAACGGTCTGTCAGCTCTGTCATATTTTCAATCACACTGTTTTTTCTTGTTCTCGCCGCTTTGACTCCAATTTCCCTCTTCACGCTACTACTACTGCTGATGATCTCCATAGAGTCCAGTATGTTGCTCCTCCTACTCAATGGCATCCTGACACTGATGTTATCGCTCATACGACACCAAATTTGTCGTCTCTCAGTATCGCCAATGATTATGGTGGTACGAATCATACTTTAGTTGGTAATGGTGCTACTTTACCTATTAAGCATGTTGGTCAATCTATTTTGCCATCATCTCTCGTCCTCTTTATTTAAATCGTGTCATGTATACCCAAATCTCACATAACCTTTATTATCTGTTCAATAATTCACACGGGATAATCACTGTTTCTTTGAATTTTATTCTATCTCTTGTTTTGTTAAGGATCTATCAACCAAGGAACTGCTCCTCTGAGGTAAGGCTAATAATGGCCTCTATAGGTTGGATCTCCCTCCTCGTAGTTCCTTGTCTCCGATAGCTTATCTCATTTCCTTAGGTCAATAGCATGCTCGTTTAGGGCATCCTAATCATGTCACTTTTTGTACTTTAGTTAAGCAATTTCAACTCCCTCATTCCTCGAAGTCCACATCTACTAATAAATGTGAGGCATGTTGTCGAGTGAAGTTGCATTAGGTTAGTTTGCCTTCTACATTTCATCATAGTTCTAAACCTCTTGATTTAATCCACATTGATGTTTGGGGTCTTGCTCCTATTTCGTCCTTTAATGGTGATATGTTTATATTTTACCTATTTATTATATCCCTAATTTGTGATTTTTGCAATATATTTTGAGTACAAATATGCTATTTATGTGATTTTGTCTTTAATTGTAGGAATTGTACTCAAATGAAGAATTGTTGAAGTTTTGAGCTAAAATCGAATTAAAAGCAACTCAATGGGAAAGAATTGAAGATTGGAGCAATTGATGGGGAAGAAATTAATGAGTTTAGAGAATTGGAGGGCCAATGATGCAATTTTGGAATGTTTAATTAAGTTTTTGGAAATTGGCCGAAGGTTATGATGAATGTGCGGCCGATTTGGGATTGGAATTGGATAAGAATTTTAATCCCGATATTAATTGGGAAACAAGTTTTCTTGTTCTTCAAGGAGTAGGGTTTAGCCAGAAACCTATAAAAGGAGGATTAGAGATTTATTTTTACAACAGAACTGAACCGAAAATCGGCCGAAAACCTTACGGTTGCAAAAATATTCCACCTTGACGCTGCAAACCAGCCCACCGCCGACCTCCTTGCTCTCCTCCAACTCCACGAGGCAGCCACGCACCAGCCCTTCTTCCTCCTCCATCACCGCCAAACTCCCTCCTCTCCAAGCTGGCAGCATCATCACCATCGACCGCCAACGCACCAGCCACATCACCACCGAAGCAGCAGCCGCGAAGCAGAGTTTGCAACTGGCGGGGAGTTCTTGGCGGGTTTTTGGCGTCTTCCGGGTTTTGAAGTTTTAATTTATTTAATTTATTTTTTTTTATTATGTCTCTAAATATTATTGAATTATTTTTAATAATGTTTAGTGGCTAAATTCTTTTAATCTAGGGCTTGGGTGTAGCCACCGAATTTATTTGGTTTATTTAGTTCATTATTATTTGATTTTTCCATTAAATATTTATTATTCTTGTTTTAATTCGTGTAAGTAATTGGCCACTATTTGCATGTCTGAAGATACTAATTGAAGTAGCGAGAGTGGAAGATTAGTATTAGTTCGTAGGAATAATAAACTTAGGTTGTAAGCTACGAGAGTAAGATTATAACCTTTGCAATATTTGATTCTTAATGGTCTTAATGTGCTTTTGTTAATCCCTATAGTCACGAGAGTAGTCATAGGGTTAATCTAAGTAAGAGAATTATAGCACGAGAGTGTATAGTTCTTAATTAGGTGAATCGTTGTGAGATTAATGGAAGTTAAAAGTCAAATATTTGTGAACTGAACTAAACCAAATATTCGGTAGGTGAATCCAATGTCCTAGGTTTTCTTTGTTTGATTATTTGAATTAATATTATTTGCCTTTATTTTATTTATTTATTTTAGTTTTAAATTTTATGAACCTGAGATCATCATTTATCTAGATAATAATAGGAGTAATTTATACATGGTAATTAGTATTCCTTCTCTTTGGGATCGACCCTGCTTTCTGCTTTACTACTAGTAATTGTATTAAGTAGGTAATTATTATTTGACTAGTGTGACGACGGCTTGTCAAATTTGGCGCCGTTGCCGGGGAAGGCAGCTAATATCGAATTTAGATTACTTTCTTTTATTAGTTTAGATTTGTTGTTTATATTTTATTTATTTTATTGTCTTACTATTTTAGTGATTTCTTTTAAATATTTTTTGTTTTTATATGCGAAGTGCTAATTCTGAGACCTTGCAATTTGATCCAGAGATAGAAAGAACAGCTCGTGCGAACAGAAAAGAAGCAAAACTAAGAAAAGAGAAGAATCAGAGTGAAACCATGGGCGACAGAGTAAACACTCGGACACTGAGGGATTACTTTACACCTACGGAGAATGTTGCTAGGTCAAGTATTACTAGGCCTACCATTGCTGCGAATACCTTTGAGCTCAAGCCAGCATTGATCCAGATGGTGCAGCAGAATCAATTCTCCGGTTTTAACAATGAGGATCCAAATGCGCATATTTACAATTTTTTAGAGATCTGTGATACTGTGAAAATAAATGGTGTGACATCAGATGCAATCCGGCTGAGACTTTTCCCTTTTTCATTGAGGGGAGAAGCGAAGAATTGGTTGAATACTTGCGATCCTGGTTCCATCACAACTTGGGATGAACTGTACAAGGAATTCCTGATCAATTTCTTCCCACCACATAAGGCAGCGAAATTGAGAAATCAAATTACTGGGTTTATTCAAGAAGATGATGAGACATTTCATGCTGCATGGACAAGATTTAAGGAATTGCAAAGAAGATATCCTCACCATGGTATTGAGAAAAGTACTCTAGTTCAGACTTTCTATCAAGGATTGACAGACTTTGCAAGAAACAATGTGGATGCTGCAGCTGGAGGTTCATTAATGGATAAATCAATTGATGATGCCTACGAATTGTTTCAAATTATGGCAAAGAATAGGAATCAATGGTCGAACTCGAGAAGTGTTTCCAAGAAGCCTGCTGAAATGTATGAAGTCAATGAGCTTAGTGCCATGAACGCAAAGATAGATGCACTGACCAAGGCGATGGGTAATCTTGTAAATGCTAATGCAGTCTTCCATGCCACTGTCTGTGAGTTCTGTGGAGGTTC